CCACTGTCTGCCACCTGTCCCTCACCCAGAACCACGATTCCTTCCACCCCTTGATGGAAGAAGGCAGCCCTACCACAAATGGTGCGTGAGGCCCCCAAGGAGCTAAATAATACCACCCCATTGACTCCTTACCTATCACCCTAGGTTGGAACAGGGTCATGAAGACGTGGAGAGGCATGTCCTCCCCAAGTGACACTTTCTTCCACAGGAAGTACGAGCCAAACAACTGGCTCCACCCATTTGGCAAAACTTGGGTCGGCGACAACATAAAACTCCTCAGCACCGCCCTCAAGAAGGGGTGTAGAGGAAGACGCATATCTTCATTAAACAGGTATTCACTCACCGCCACACACCCGGGCCTTGGATAGCAGGCGTGCTCGTGAGTCTTGGGTACCAACATTTCCACATAGTACATAGTACCTTTCCCTGATTTCCCCAGTCTCTTCAAAGTCATATTTGAAGGCACTCTGGACACCCCCACTCCTCACTATAATCTACTGGCTCCTCAGTCATAGCATATTGCTTGACCTTGGGGTCTCCTCTGTGACTTGCCCCCGCACCGAACGACGCAATTGTTACTAATTCCCTACCCAAGGTGGATTCCATATCAGAATGAACTCAATGCAAAGGATTTTCTGTGAAAATACCTATGGGAAATGACTACGTGAACGGAGTAACGCCGAAAAATGAGAAGATCGATTGTTTGGACATCGAAAAATTGGAGTTTTTAAGAAATCAGATTGTAAAGAATGAAAATCCAGAAAAATGGGGATCTCTCACCTTTTATAAAAGGCAAGAACGAACCCTAGCCATCTGATCAAAGTCCATTGAATCTGAACCCTTCATTTTAAACCAAATCCGAGGCGTAGAATTCAATCGATTTTACAAACCTACGCTTCAGATTCAATCGTGTCCTCCACGCATCTCCCCAAATGCGTCTGCTCTAGAAGCTCCAACTATGCTCATAATTACGACTTTAATTCGACGGCAGCAGACGCCTTGGAAGTTGAACGGTCCAGCTACCTTTCTTCAAAAGTATGCGTAAAACATCATATCATTGCACAACTCTCAAGGAACAATCATTACCAATGAGCCTCGGCTTCTTCATCACAATTCAGCCATAACAAGCCTCGTAGGTTCGGTTTCTCAACCATCTCGAATTTTTTGTCACAATTTAGCCATCACAAGCCTCGTAGGTTCGGTTTCTCAACCACCTCGGCCTCTTCATTACATTTCAGCTTTCACAAGTCTCGCAGGTGCGATTCCTCACCCCATCTCGGCTTCCTCATTAGATTTCAGCCTCCACAAGCCTTGCAAGTGAGGTTCCTCACCCACCTCGGCTTCCTCATCAGAGTTAAGCCTCCACAAGCCTCGCAGGTGCGGTTCCTCACCACCTCAGCTTCATCATTTTTATCACTCCTCCACAAGAGCACGTTTTTAATTCCAACCATGATATAAATATCTATACTTGGACTTGGGGGACCATTATTCGGGGTTCAAAAATTCTTTCAATTTTTACCCAATCACTGGCTTTACTTCATTAAAGTCCACGCATTACATGAATGAATATACTTGGACTTGGGGGACTATTGTTACGTGTTGACACACTTGACCAACTTGCTGGGGCCTATGGCCCATCATGCCGAACCATGTGGCACTCCAGCCAAGGTGGTATGTATGGCCGAGGCTCTCATGCCGAAGCCCTGTCAAAGTAGCCGAGGCTCTTACGCCAAAGCACTATGAAATGTAGTTGAGGTCATGATGCGGAAGCACCATGAAAATGGAGCCAAAGCCCTGAAGTGGAAGTATTATGTGAATGGAGGAGGCCCTGTTGGCTGAAGCTCAGTAGCCAAGGTAGCAACCTCCGAATAACAAAGTAGCATCTTCCATAGACACTTCTCCCAAGAGATCCTCCGTACAAAGATTTTACTTGAATGATTGATATGACGTTTGTTATGAGTGTAAATGTTAAGTTTTGCCACTGGTAGAGATGGCTTTACCAATCAATAAATGTATAGCAGGTTAGGTGCGGTTGATGCCTACACTTTGACATGTAAATTGTCCAGATGAGGCCACGTGTACCCCGAACCAAGGGTCACGATCTAACTGGTGACACTATAAATAATCCTCCATGTACCCCGTACAAAGACTAATGCAAGAATCAATACAGAAAATCATGCTTTACTCAACTCTCTTTCTTATCATCTTGCAACACAAATGAGTTCATACATATTTAGATACACGTTTACAAATATCGATTGGTAATTATTGTACAATTGATCTACGAACATCCCGTTGGATTTCGAACGCTCTCGTCCCGCGCCGTTGAGCTACTCCCACGCTCTTGACCTGTCCGTTTTAGACCTCCACGTGTCTTAACGTGTTGGACTTTCGCTTATATGTGCGCGGGTGGGTCCGACATCTATTGGCAACATATTCTAGGGTCAACATCTACAAATACAAATCGATAGAGATTCTAAAATTTTTTACTGCCAAATTAGTGATATTTCTGTCATTTTGTTAACTATTTTGATCCATAGTGTAGTCCAAAACTTTTAAAGATTATGTTTATTTTGGGCCTCAACGTCCATTTATAATTGGCCGTTTTTGTTAGAGTTTCTTTTAAATTGATTTTTTCCTTAAAATTATTTTTAATCGTACATTTTTCAGTAAAATTATTTTGCAAATGGACGTAAATATTTTCTTACTCTTTAACTATTCATTTTCCAAAAAAATCATTTTCATAAATTTATTCTAGAAAATTTACATCAAAAGGATCATTGGGATATTTACGCCATGCACTCATTTTAATGTCAAAATTCCTATTTCACCTCACATTACTTTTTGAGACAATATAATAGCACATTTCGACTTTTTTTTTGAAAAAAAAAAAAAAAACCCCCCCCCCCCCCCCCCCCCGCCCAAAACTTTATGACTAGACATCCATTTTTAAAAAAATATCATTAATCACCCTCTTTTTGAACTTTGAGTATTCACCTCTAATTACTTTCAAGCTATATCTCATATCTTATCAAAGCAATATCTAATATAAAGTAATACAACTAAAATAAGTAAAGACATACATTTTCTACAATTAAAAACAACTTCTTTACAAATTTAAAAATTATAATAAACAATAACGAGTTCACATGTTATAACACAAACTACGGAAAAAGATAGCTCGGTTTTTTTGTTAATTGATGTATGAATTTAAATTAAGAATTCAAATTAGAATTTTGACTTAGGTTCACTGGTTGTTAGTCATCAAAAAAGACAATATTAAGCATCAAAAAAAAAAAGAATGAACAATTTCAATGTTTTTTTTTTTTTTTTGTTCTTTTTAATCGAAACTCAAGTATGTATTTTATTGTAACAACAATTCCTATATATAAATTTCAATGAAAACTATAATTTGAATATAATAATAGCCTTTTGTATACTTAGGAAAGCTATCTACAAAATGAAACATTATTTAATAATTAACTTAAAACTATATAATAAATTATAATTATTAATCATTCGAAGTGCGTGCAAGTTTATTTTCGTTCAAGATATATTGCTGAACCTTAAATCAAAATTAATAATAAATACCTTGGATTAAGTGCCCACAAATCAACCAAAAAAAAAAAAAAAAGGAAAAACTTTTATTCTAAAGCTAATGGAATTCGCTTAACTCCTGATAGTGACATTAATCTTATCAACTATACAAATATTTTATAAAATTTGATAATCAAACAAGAAATATACGACATTTTTATTCCCAAACATCATGATTTGTGACACTTAAGTATCTGTGGAAGAAATAAATAAGTAACAAGTAGACAAAACTTGTGTAATAAACTACATTATGGTATGATTTTATATTTTGGCAATACTTAAACTTGGTTTACACTCCATAGTTTCCAAATGTCACATGCCCTTCAATATCCAACTTATAATCTTGTCAAGATCCATCATTTCCTTAATTTATTACCTGATGACACAATTATATTGAATTTAAACCTTAAACAAAATTGATACACACTCCCAATATCCCACTCTTAAAACACAACCTTTTTTTTTTTTCCTTTAGATTTCAAAACTAAACGTACATCAATCTTCCCGGTAAGGAAGAGGGGGAAAGGTGATGTTATCTATCTTGACCGGTTGCCCAAGGCAATGAAAATTCAAACTGGCTCAAAGAATCACTAACACCTTTAGCACCATTCATTTCGTTAACAAAGAAGTCATCCTTGACAATTTTCCATTTCTTTCCTGTTGAGCCACCTCTCTTCATCATTTGATACCTCCACCTTCCCTTGCTATAACATACAGGGGCACCCTCTTTTACAATCACTAAGAAAAAAATCAATACCAATCAAAAACCCATCTATGTAAAGTTTCATCTATTATTTTTCCGATCCCAGGATAGTTTACTCTTTCCATACATATATATTTCTATCGTTCAGCACTCCTCCACCCAACCCAACTCTTTTTTTTTTTCCTTAACGAATCCCTATTGATCTTAAGAGATCTATCTCGTCAAAAGAAAATTCTTATATGCTAATTATTCTCCCGATAGCGATATGTTTAAAAGCACAAAGTTTGAAACTTTTTGCAATGTCGTGAGAGGAATGTACACCGGAGTGTCAATTCCGATGTACAAATAGCATTTTTCATGTTTTAAAGATCAAACTAGGAGTTACAAAAAAAAAATAAAAAATAAAAAAATAAACTTCTAACCTGATAATTTATGGTGTTAGTTAGAATCGACTCGTTATTAACTTTTTACAGCCATTTTGGATTGTATTTCTTTTATAGATATAGCAATATTCTCAATCTTGTTTATCGAAATAACCTTTTGATTCTATTTTAACTACATTCATTTTTAAGTCAGATCAAATCTTGATATCCTATTTTTAAAAAGTAAACTTCATTAACAACAACATCCCTATCTCTTAAAATTTAGTTATCATTTTTAAATTTAAACTAATTCAAATTACATAACATTTTCCCGGAAGAAAGTAAAAAGTATGAATATCCTCCTCCACCCTTTCTTCCCCTCTCTCTGGTTGTCCCTTTACGCGTATTATTTTGTGGTTTCGACCTATATATATCCTCCATTTTCTTCCACTCTTCCATAGCAGGTGCACCCTAGTTTCTCCAGCACCTGTTATTTTTCTTAAAGAACACACATTTCATTTCCCTCAATCACCCTCCCTATATACACACTTAAATTTCTTATATTCTTGATTTTCTTGTTTGATAATTCAATTTTTTGTTGGAAAAAAAATGCCTTCTATTAGTGAGGAATTGCTTCTGCCCTCAACGCCGGGGAAGTTTAAGGATAAATCACACGCAATGCACAGACAATTCTACCGGTGTTTTGCTTCGACGAGTACGATGTTCTTGTGGGCACTTTTCTTGGTGGCGTTGACGGCGTCGTATTTGAGTTTCCAGTCGTTCGTGGATTCCGGTAACAAGTACTTCTCTGCCACGAGGGGCGGCGTACACTGGGAAAAACAGGTCAAAACCTCGGCTCGGGTCCACCGACGGAATGGGTTCTCCGTGCTAGTTACCGGCGCCGCCGGTTTCGTCGGCTCCCACGTGTCTCTCTCCCTGAAAAAGCGCGGCGACGGCGTTGTTGGGCTTGACAATTTCAACAATTACTACGATCCTGCATTAAAAAAAGCCAGAAAAAAATTGCTAAATTCGCAGAATATATTCATCGTGGAGGGCGATGTGAACGATGCGCGCATGATAGCAAGACTATTCGAAATTGTGCCCTTCACCCACGTGATGCACCTGGCTGCGCAGGCAGGGGTACGATACGCCATAGAGAATCCGCACTCGTACGTGCACAGTAATATTGCGGGATTGGTCACTCTTCTCGAAGCATGCAAAAACGCGGATCCACAGCCTGCAATTGTGTGGGCCAGCTCCAGTTCGGTTTACGGGTTGAACGAGAAAGCCCCGTTTTCAGAATTGGATAGAACCGACCAGCCAGCTTCATTGTATGCCGCGACCAAGAAAGCCGGCGAAGAAATAACCCACACATACAATCATATTTACGGGTTGTCAATTACCGGGTTGCGGTTTTTCACTGTTTACGGCCCGTGGGGAAGACCCGACATGGCGTATTTCTCCTTCACCCGAAATATTCTACAGGGAAAGCCAATAACAATTTACCGGGGCAAGAATCGGGTCGACTTGGCCCGGGATTTCACCTACATTGATGACATTGTTAAAGGCTGCGTGGCGTCGTTGGATACCGCGAAAAAGAGTACCGGGTCGGGTGGGAAGAAAAGGGCAGCCGCACAATATCGGATCTATAATCTGGGTAATACGTCGCCAGTGACAGTTCCGATGATGGTCGGAATTCTTGAAAGACATTTGCAGGTAAAAGCAAAGAAGAATGCCATTACAATGCCCGGAAACGGTGACGTTCCGTTCACCCATGCAAATATAAGCTTGGCCCGAAGGGAACTCGGGTACAGACCCACAACCGATTTGCAAACCGGGTTAAAGAAGTTTGTAAAATGGTATCTATCATATTATGGCTACAATCACGGCAAGTCGTGAAGTTGATATTTTCCTTTTTACTTTTTTTAAATTCAAGGATGTGTGGGGGCGTATTGGCAAGGTTAAAGAGAATACTGCATTCTTTTCTTGTGGATGATTTGGGATGTAGTAAGTTTGACTCCCCATCTTTAGTTTAAAGTTTTTGTCGTTTCTTTGTTGTAAAAGATAAGAAAGTTGCACAATTTGGCCGAACCCAAAAATTACTTGTAAATTATGATTTACATATTAATGTACACTATGATGACATAGAAGAGAAAAGAAAAAAATAGGAAAGAAAAAAAAATTAAGTAAAAAATCGATTGATGCGCATAATGTACAAATAACATTATTGAGTTCGTGATTGTATTTTTTAGTACGCATTAAATCTTAATTGTGAATAGTTTTTTGACTTCGACAGAATCTTGATTTTATTATCTATGTTATTGAACATACTTCCTTTTTACACTGAAAATGCGTTCAATAAATGGAATTTTATTGAACAAAACATTTTTTCCATTTCAAGGATAAAAGAACATTTTTTTTGAAAAAAATTGAAGGGTGTTTTGGAAGTTAACAAGGAGTTTAGGGAATCTTTAAGGTGAATGATTGAGATATATTGAAAAATGACAGCTGAGCGAAAGCATTGATTGCATGAGAAAAAAGCAAAGGGACAGGTGAGATGTGATCGACATCTGCTTGGTCCAAATTCATGACACGTCTAATTTTTTA